GGCCACGAGGGAGCAGCCCTTCCCACTGGCCCAGCTGGGCTGCTCCCATCCCTCCGCCAAGCAGCCGCCTTTCCCCTCCACAAAGTGTGGGCAGGAAGGAACAAACTGGATGTCAGCCCCGCTCTGCGGAGTCGACCCGTCCGGCCCCGCTCTGCGGAGTCGTCCCATCCAGCCTTGCTCTGCGGAGTCGTCCTGTCCTTGCACGTGCCCATCCAGAGCCCAAAGCCACCCTCTCACGTGGCATGCACCTGACATGTGCACCAGAGCTGCAGGTGCAGCTACTGCTGTGGCCGCTGCACCCAGGCCGCCAGGCCAGGCCAGGAAGGTTGGGAGGGCGTGCAGGGTGCTGCTGGCTGACCTCAGGTGGCCGCATTCTCCAACCAGTGTCTGAGAGATTGTGCACGAGCAGGTCCCCATGGCCTCTTTGAAACAAGTGGCCTCTGCCTGGAATGGGGAGAAGAGGTCGCTGCAGGGGTCGGCCTCATGTGGAGCCCGGCTAGCTGTGTGCCCTCGAGGTCGTGCGTGACGGCCTTGCACGTCTCACCTGCGAGGGGCAGCACTCACACTTATGGGCTGACATCCAGCATTCCAAATAAGGCGTGTGACACAAACCGTTGTGCAGGTGACATGAGGACAAGCACTGTCCGTTCAGATGGGACGACATCTGTACTTAGTACATAAACTCTCTTCCAGCAGGCATGTGCGCTGGCCAAAGAGAGACGGGGGAGGCGTGAAGGCGCCTCGCGGGGCCTGGCCGCACCGCTGCCCTCCCCCTCCATGTGAGGCATGGGCACACCTGCGCTCGGCCAGTGGGTTTTCCCAGCTGCCAGGTCTGGGACCCGGCGAGGTCAGTTACATGAGACCCCGCAGCCGTGGCCACTGCCCACAGCTGGGTCCACGGCTCCCGTCTACTCTGCATTTTCTGCATTACAATATATTTCAAATGGATCAAGAATTTAAACGTGAAAGGAGGGAAGGCAGAGAGAAGGACGGCGTGGGGAGAAAGGAAGGGGCAGCACCACAGAGGAGAGCCTTTGGGCCAGGAGAAGGTCCCGGGAGAGCCGGGACACCCTCCACGTCGAGCTCAGAGCACCCGGAGGGAAGGGCTGCTCTCGGACTGCACGGAGCAGACATGATGAATAAAAGCAGAGACTTTGTCCCTCCACATCCAGGGAACACTCCCGGGTCGGGACGGACCCGCTCTGCTCCCGACAGGCAGGCCGCCCCGGCTCTCTAGTGATGAGCTCAGTATCATCGGCTGCCAGGGGAACACAGGCAAGCACTACGTGAGAGACCACACGTCTGCTGGGAAGGCTGGCATGGGGACGGCCCACGGCGAGCGCCGGTGGCCGTGTGGAGCAGCTGGAACCCTGGCACCTGCTGGTGGGAATGTAAGATGGTGCTGGGGCCGGAAAGCAGTTGTACAGTTCCTTAAAAAGTTACACAAATATCCACCGAATGACCCAGGTACTCTGTCCTAGGTATTCGCCCAGCAATGAAAGCTGAGTGTAGGCAGCATGTACCAGGCGTTTCTAGCACTGTGCCGTGGCACTGAACACCGGGAGCAAACCCAACCAGACAACGACGTGGACCATCCGTACGACCCTACAACGACCTGACGACGTGGACAGCACCTATGCTGAGTCAGGGAAGCTGGACAAGGGCAGTTGCAGGCGGGCTTGTTCTTTTTGTGTGAAAGTCTGAAGAAGACAACTAGCCTACAGCGACAGTGAGCTGACCAGCGGCTGTGTCCAGGGATGGCGGTGCTGCACAGGGCAGGGCAGGGAGAATTTCCGAGGGCACAGGAGCATCTGGGGCCACGGGCGTGTGCCCTGTCCTGGCGGTGACGATGGCTTCCGTGCTGTGCACTTCACAGACACGTGAGAGTCTGCCTGAATATGCGGTTCCCGTTTATACCCCAGAGAGCTTTAAAACACAGCAAAGAGCCCAGGGCCCTACGACTGGCTGTCGGGGTGCCGCAGTACCTTCCAACAGAAGCAGATGCTCTGCTCACAGCTCCTGAACGTGCAGGCGAGCGACAGCCTGGCCTGGCTCATCACTCGCAGACGGTGATGGCAGAAGGGATGGTGCAGAACCTCGTCACTCCTGACGGCCCTCCAGGTCAAAAGAAGCCACCAGCTTCCTACCTGCCAGCCACAGGCGGGCCAGGCAGCACACACTGCGTCCACTGTCCAGGCCCTCCGCCTGCCCATGGGCGACCGCGCCCGGCCCTGCCCTCTCAGGTACAGCTCAGTGCTCCCTTCGCAGGGCACGCTCTCCACTTTCTCTTCACTTTTTTTTTTTTAAGAGGTTTTTGCTATGGGACGCATGCGCTCGCCAGACAGACATAGAGAGACAGAGAGACAGAAAGCAAGAAATCACCTCCCAGGGTGGATGGCCATGCCACAATCCCTTCTCCTTCATTCTCCTCTCGGGATCTTGGGCACACACACACACACGCGCCCAGTGTGATTTTTAAGCCACCGGGTCCGGGACGCGAACCACGGTTGACTACGTGGGAGTCCAGCGACACAGCCATTATGCTAACTGCTGGTCCCTCCACTTTCTCTTCACCTTTTTCTGTTTCTGCCCCAGAGAAAATATTCTGCTTGAGTAACTAGATTGACAGCTGTAGAGCTGTCGTGGGTCAGAACCCTCTACCGCTCCCTACATAAGGCGACTTCGACAAACTTATGGAAAATGGAACTAAAGTATGCATTACTTAGACGCAGAAACTCCTGAAATCCATACATAGCTCTTATTTATTATTTTTGTTTTGCTATAGGGCGTGTGCAGTTAGCAGAGAGAGAAAGCGCGAAGTCGCCCCCTGGGGGATGGCCACGCTGTAGTCCCTTCTCCGTTCTCCTCGGGATCACGGGCACACAGCCCACATGCCTCAAGGGATTTGACGGATGCCTGGCCTGGGACTTAAACCATGTAGGCAGCCATGTGGGCTCTAGCACCTCAGCCTACAGGGCCCCTCCAGCCCACACGCAGCTCCTCTGTAACATGCATTGCTGTGCCCTCGGGAGACCCTCGCTTTGCTTCCTGCATCCCCAGTTACTGAAACACACGTGAACAAGTGTGTGTGAGTGCATGGATCGAACAGATCTTACCTGTAGGAGGCATCGTCACAGGGACCGCACACAGGTGAGCTAGGGATTTGGGAACTCAGTGCCGTTCAGCCAGGGGGCCAGGGGACTTGAAGGCTCTGTCCAATTGGGGCCACACTGACGGGGAGCCCCAGGTGCATGTTGCCATAGACGGTCACTCCTACATGCATGAAATCACCCTGCACGGCGCTGTAACTCCTCTCTCAACCATGTGGATATGCGAAATATTGGAAATCATTTCTAGTTTACATATGTTTGGAAGTCTGTCCATGGCTGCTGGTTTGGGGCCAGGACATGTGTGTGCTCAGCGACCTTTGTCCTTCAAAGCAATCTGTGAGTTAGAGCCTTGTAAATATGGAGGAAGGACTGCTGGAACCAGCACCCCCCTGAGGACAAGCAGGGGCGCTCAGGTAATGAGTACCCTTCCTGAGCGCTGCCACGTCTGAAGCAGCCTTGAGAAATCAGGGCACCCTCCTCACTCTGAGTCACCCACCGCCTTGGGAGTGCCTTGTAATTCTAGTTCAGAAAAAGGTGGGGTGACTTATCTATTATCTATTCCATTTTAAATTCTCTTCCCTGGACAAGCTCTTAAACCTGCCTTAAAATCGATGACCGCACAGAGCTCACCCTCCCGACTGCAGAGCAGGACTCGCTGCAGTCTGGAGACCTCAGCTCTGAGCAGTGGGGAATGCCCGTCCATTTGGGGTAGGGGTGACTGCTTTCCCTCTTCGTTACCCTTTGGGGTGTGGGAGTTTCCAGAGCAGGGCTCCCAGAGAGTAGCTGCAGGGGCAGGTCCCCAGCGCCAGAACGCCCAGCCCTCACGCTCCGGGTCCCCCTGGAGCGTCCGCTGTTCGGTTGTGTGTGTTGCTTAAGATTTTGCAAAATAGTCCAGGTCAAGCGACAGCACGTCTTGGTCTCTGGGAGCCAGCAAGACGTTGCTCTCAGCCTACATATCTGCTAGGAAACCTCAGGCTTTGGAATGCCCTTGTTATGGAAAATAGATTACAAAAGGAAATCGCTGGCTGGCACTCCCGCCCGCGCGACTAGGTCTGACCCCAGTTTTCCTTTCCTTCCCTGCTTTTCTGTCTTGACACCAGTGGCCAAGGAGGTGGAAGGCCTGGGGGAGAAGAGGGCTGGCCTGGAAGGTGGCCAGGTCGTACCTGGCAGACCTAGCCCGGCATGGTTTCTCCTTTCCCGTCCCCTCCGTCCCCTTCGGAAGAAACGCTCAGTCCTCGCCCGGGGAGAAGCCCCGCTTCTGGCACACGCCATTCCGACCCGCCGTGGGAACCGCCACGTTCTAGGTGACCTGCCTCCCTCCTGGGTCCTCCAGCACCAGCCCGCCCCGCGCCGCGCCCCGCCCCGCGGTCCAGGCCTCCGCTCGGCCGCCC